AACCTCCCAAGGTAAAATGATCTTAATCAGTAGAGTATAGATACCAAAAACTCTACTATCAGCGAATCAATCCACAACAGGAAAGTACACGAATAAATATGTGTTTTTAAGAAGAAGGAAGATCAGAAAAATTCGTAGGGAAATATTCTGAAGACTGAATGGTATTTATAGGCAAGAAGAATATATTCTGAAAGGTTGCAACCCTTTCAGAATTGGCATGACCATTAATGAAAGGTTGCAAATTTTCAAATGGTATTGATTGTTCCTGAAAGTTGCAACCTTTCAGAACAATCATGGCGGGAATTTTTTTAAATATAACGAAATTTAAAATGGGTCATGCGCGCGGATCCGAGTTGGGTCGGGTTAACTAAAAAGTAGAAACATTTCAGTTAACTTCTGTTATCAACTAATTAATTGAAAATAATTTTTGCCCATTAAATTAATTAATTAAATAAATAAAATAAATTTGTCCAAAAAATTATCTCTTGATCAATCATTTGCCAAAGCCAAAGCCGAAGCTGAAGCTGAAGCCATAGCCGTAGCCGAAGCAAGCGAGCGACGACGACGACGGCGCGAGGGGGGTCCCTCTTTCCAACCCTTTTAATAATTAATAGGAGTGTTTATTTATTTACACTCTCCTATTTTCATTTCCATTACCGATGAGGGGCTATTGCCTTTTTCATTAAAGCATTAGAGGACTTTTCAAGTTCCCAACCTTTCAAGTTCTAAACTTTTCAAATTCCTCTTCTTCCCTCTATTTCCCATCAATTCTTGCTACATACCCAACAGAGTCTTCCCTAACGCGAGTTCAAATCTCGAGCGACTGACCACCAAATGCAAACCAAACTCGAGGAGATTTTCACGACTTAGGATTAAGGAAAACGTGTGAAATTTCTTTGGTGTGAGTGTGATTGTTCCAAAGAAATTCCACACTTTCTTGACTCTAAATTTTCCAGATTTCTTTCTAACCTCTGCTTCACTGGAAAAAAAAACTTTGTAATAAGAAGAGGGGATTATTTATAGGAGAAGAACCAGGTTTCAAGATCAGGGGAGGGCGGGAGAATTTCTCAAAAAAGATGGGGAAAATTGGGATTCCAAGTACCCTTTTGAATTCGAAATCCCTTCTCCCATTTTGGACCAACAACTATTTCAGAGGAAAAGGCTTCAAACCAAAAGAGGAAGGGATATAGACGCTTGGGATCGACCTCAATTGTCCTCGCTGCCAGATAAAGCAATCTGGTTACATCAAGAACGAATTGGCATGACTTGCTCTATTACTACAAAAGGTACGAGCCAGGGCGAGGTGAAGAAAGAGACAAAAGAGCGCATTGTACCGTCCTGTCCTTCTCCATATTCCTATTACACTTGCTCTCGCAACTATCCTCTCTCACGCGCCCTGATCTTTTGTCGGTTTGCCAGCATTTTGATCCATATGCGTTCCGATTTTCGAACTTGCTCACGCGAGGAAGAAAGGGAAAACAAAACGGGTCTTGACTGCGTAAGAAAAAATAAGGTGGGGAATTCGGGCCTGCAAAATGGTCTGAATTGCAAAAGGGCTCAGATTGGTTGAGGGAATGGATTTGAAAGGGAAATGACAATAGTTGGACTTGGAAAAAAGGAGTTGGCCCTGAGAAAATTGGGTCAAATTTTGAAGTGGGCTGGTGGGTTGCTAAAATAGAAAGCCCAACATGGCTTTAACTTGGTTTAACATATTGGTGTCAAGCCATAATTAAGTAATAAACCATTCCGACGAATATATAAATGAATTAGTTAACGAGAATTTTAATTTTGACAAAATTAAAATAGCAAACTCGATTAAAAGAGTAATTAATTAAAAGTAGAATATAGTTGTCATTAAAATTGAACTAAATCGAAGAATATTCAACTCAAAGTGACCTTTCGAAATGACTTCGTTTTAGAATATTCACAAAACATACTAGTTATATATAAGACATTCGTAAAAAAAACATATGTTATTCAGAAATCACGGAAAAACATGTATTCAACGATATTCAAAAATAATAATAACAATAACAATAATAATTTTGAACTATGTAAAACTAACCATTTCAAGTTGTTTAGAAATAAAATTCTCGTTATTAGTTCATCGTCGAGGGTTAAAATTGGTTGTCAACAACTGTCCCTCATTTTACTAGGATTGATGCAAGAAATTCGAGGAGAATGAATTTGACCACACCAATTTTGACCGACCACAAATTCATCTAGGAAAAGGATTTTGGTACGGACTTAGGAATTATGGACGAATCCCGAAAAATGGTTTCATACATATATCAGGCTGCATGAATGTTCAGGCCACTTGCAGTTCAACAAGCTTTATTTGACGCATGATTTTGAATGAATTCACAAGCCACCCCGATACCGAGTTATGAAGGTACCGAAATGCTGGAGAATAAGATTCGAGAGCGAAAGTTGGAATACAGCCAAGTTTTTGCCGTTGAGTTCGCCTACATACCCTTTAATCATAGGAATCAGGTTGCCTGTATTTCAACTCGATCGTTTGAAAAGGAAATCCATTATGCTAGATAACCTTTGGTTATGGAAAAGTGACAAATAAAATGAGTATGAGAAAGAGGCTCGTAATCTCTTAGCCATGAATGTGGTGCGCTCACATCCATGGGTAAGAACTTACAAGGACATAATTTCCAAACTCTTCGCGCACTGTCACTTAGATTGGAATCTTGCTTCCGATAGATCAAAATTTCCAAATGCGAGATCGAAACAAACAAAACTCAAAGGAAACCCCACATTCCTTCTGATAGGGGTGTGGTTTAATTGTGGTGGAAGTCGCTCCGCTGCTCGCATCCTAAGAGTTTGACATTCCTCTTTGGACTGTGTCCCAGTTCGCTGCTAAGAAAAAGTTCCACATTGTCATTCGCACCTGTGGTATGTTTGGAGAATTTATACTTTCAAATGCTCTTGACAAAGAGTGAGATAAAACTTGTCAGCAAAAAAATGCAATTTAAGTGGGAGACGGTGTCTTTTACCGTGTCGACACTTAATCGTTCTCCCCGACATTTGACGTCAACTCAATTAGTTTGATGTAAAGCAAATAAAGCTTATGTCTTGTGTTTGCAATATAATTTTCAATGTATTCATCATTTGATTTCAACATAAAGGAAAGTTGATGAAGTGTTCTAGCATTTCTCTTGATGTGTCTTCGATGCTCTTCTTGATATTTGCTTTTATCAAAAATAAAAGAGTGCAGTTGATGTGGATGGATAAATATTTCTCTTGGGATGCACGATTTCCCTTTCAGCTATGCATGCCTTCTTGCGGGCATGAATATCTTCCCGTGATACGTAAATTTCTGCGAGGTATGAAATCTTCCCGCGATGCGTAACTTTCCGCGAGGCATGAAATCCTCTCGCGATGCATAAATTTTCAACGAGGCATGGAATCTTCTCCGGATGCATAACTTTCAGCGAGGTACACAATCTTCTCGCAATGTATAAATTTTGACGAGGCATGAAATCTTCTCGTTATGCATAAATTTTTGCGAGGTATAATATTTTCTCGTGATGCATAAGTTTCGACGAGGCATGGAATCTTCTCGTGATGCATAGTTTCTTGCGATGTATAAATATCTTCCCCCGAAGCATGATCTTCCGTGATGCATGAATATTGGCTCGCGATGCATTATTTTTTGCGATGCATGTGTATTGACTGGTGATGCATGATTTTCCGCTATGCATGAGTATTGACTCGCGATGCATGAATTTCCGCTATGCATAAGTATTGACTCGCGATGCATGAATAATCATATCGCCTCCAATGATGATAACGGTAAAACGTCTTCCAGGAAATGCATTGTCTAGATCGATAATAAACTAGTTGACCCCCTCCGGGTAATGCATAGTATCTTATACGACATTATGATGCAAATGATGTCCTTTATAAATTTCATGTCGTTGGAAATTGATTGAAATAAACAATTCATATTCCCAAGTCTCCGACATAAGAGATATAAAATGTCTCTTGCTTCTAGGAAATCTATTGATTTTGTGATAGTTTTTGTCCTCTTTAGAGCTTTCCATATTCATCCATCTGATGAACTTGCTAATTTCAGAGCAAAACTATAAACCCGCGTCCACAGAAAAATTGTTAGTTTTAAAAAGGAACTGATTTGTGTCCATTTCTTCAATTAGTTGCTCCTTGTCTTGCTATCTCCGATTTATTTTCTGATCTCCTGACTCTTGATAGATGAGACAAAGTATTTTATGCCAAAGCAAATGAAACATAAAAGGGAAAATTTAAGAGAAATAAATTTTCGAGAAATAGTATCTAAAAAAAAGTCTCTGCCAAGTAATGTCATATCAGGCTTAACAAAACTTCTTTGAGTCTGATGCTTGAAGGCCTATCTGATCATTTGCTAGGGAGTTTTCAGAGTCACTCCGAACTTGCGGATAAATTTGTGCTGAAATTTTGAGGTCATTCTTAAAATTTTTGTCCCAGTTAATGTTTTGCTTATCTTTCCACTGTAACTGAGCAGATTGCGGAATTTTTGAGATCTTCTCAACAATTCTGTCTCAGTTGCAAATCTCAAAATATTTTCTGTCTTGACTTGCTAAGGAAGAATCTTCTTCTCGAGAATTTTTTAGTCCTTCTCAAAAATTCTGTCCCAGATTCTATTGTAGAGAGGAATAAAAATCTTATGGGAGATATGACCGAGCCATTGTGGCACCTACGTATCCCCTTGAGAAGGAATCAGGTCAAACGCTGTTCCCCTCAAAGGTTGACAAAATAAAAAGCATTTACAAAGAAAACCGAAAGAGGCCGACATAGGCCGCCTACTTATATCATTTTTGAGAATTCAGATTGAACGTAGTTCAAATACAAATAAATAAAAAAGGGGATAAATGGGGTGATCGAAGACGATATAGGACGCCTACGTATCTCATTCTTGAGAATTCAGGTCAGTCGTAGTTCATTACAAGAAAGGGTAAAATTTTAAGCAAAACAAATACAAGCAAACGGAAGCTTCACACGTAGTATATGTTGACAACATCTGAGTTGATAGGTTTAGGCCATACAGTGCCATCCATCTCCGACAGGACCAAATTACCTCCAGGTAATACTTTGCGAACCATGTAAGGCCCTTGCCAGTTCGGTGTGAACTTTCCTTTGTACTCATCTTGATGAAGAAAAATATGCTTAATAACCAACTGACCAACCTCAATATTTCTGGCTCTTACTCTCTTGTGAAAAGCACGAATCATTCTCTGTCGATAGAACTGACCATGAAAATCAAAAACCATTCTCTTCTTATCAATCAAAGTTAGTTGATAAATCCGCTTGCTGACCCATTCAGTGTTACTCAACTCAGCATCTTCGATGATCCTCAAAGACGGTATCTTGACTTCAACTGGTATGACTGCTTCTGTTTCATATACTAGCAAATATGGAGTGGCTCCAATTGATGTTCTGACAGTCGTGTGGTATCCCAATAATGCATATGGTACCATATCATACCAACCTCGATGCTTGTCAACCATTTTCCTCAAAATCTTTTTGATATTCTTATTGGCAGCCTCCACAACTCCATTCATTTGGGGATGATAAGCAGTCGAATTTCGATGAGTGACCTTAAATTGCTCACATATCTCTCTCATCAAGTGACTGTTGAGATTTGCACCATTATCAGTAATGATGGATTCTGGCCCTCCAAATATACATATCAGATTGTTCTGAATAAAATCAGCCACCACTTTCTTGGTTACCGACTTGTAAGAAGCTGCTTCCACCCACTTAGTGAAGTAATCAATGCCGAGCAAAATGAATTTGTGTCCATTGGAAGCGGCTGGCTCTATCGGACCGATGACATCCATTCCCCAAGATACGAATGGACAAGGTGAACTCATAGCATTAAGTTCGTGAGGTGGCACTCTGATCAAATCACCGTACACTTGACATTTGTGGCACTTTTGCACAAATTTGCAACAATCATTCTCCATAGTCATCCAGAAATACCCGGCTCGTAAGATCTTTCTTGCCAAAGTTGACCCGTTCATATGCGTACCACAGACTCCAGCATGTATCTGTTCAATAAGCTTCACAGCTTCAACATCATCAACACATCTTAGAAGAGCCAAAACTAGAGTCCTCCTATAAAGGATTCTCCACTTAGAAATAAATTGAGAGCCACACGGCGTATCGACTTCTTTTGGTTGGCTGTAGCATCTTAGGATATGTTCTAGACTCCAAATACTTCTTTTATATCAAAATACCAAGGAAAACCATCTGGTTCTGCTTCAACATCAGAGCAATGGACTGGATGTTCTTTCAACTCTATATCCAAAGAATCAATGTAATTTGTGTTTGAATGTTTAATAGCGATGGTGGCCAGAGCATCGGCTAATTCATTGTGTATTTTGGTAGTATGTCTGAACTAGATCTTACGAAATCTTTTGCACAACCTCTGCACATGATGTAGATAAGGTATAATCTTTGGGTTCTTCACAACCCATTCTCATTGAACTTGATGAATCAGAAGGTCTGAATCTCCATTAACCAACAACTCGTAATCATTCAGGTCGATGGCCATTTTCAAACCTAGAATACAAGCTTCGTATTCGGCCATGTTGTTTGTGCAATTAAATCGGAGCTTAGCTTCCATGGGATAGTGCTGACCAGATTCTGAAGCTAAGACTACTCCGATACCTTTACCTTGATGATTTGCCGCACCGTCAAAAAATAATCTCCATCCTGGATATGCTTCAGAAACATTCTCACCCACAAACGACATTTCTCTATCGTGAAAATAAGTCTTAAGTGGTTCATATTCTTAATCAACGGGATTTTCTGCAAATGATCAGCCAAATCCTGTGCCTTTATTGCTTTTTGAGTCACATACACGATATCAAACTCACTCAACAACATTTTCCATTTAGCTAACTTTTCAGTCGGCATCGCTTTCTGGAAAATATACTTCAATGGATCCATTTTGGAAATGAGGTATGTAGTATAGGAAGACAAATAATTTCTCAATTTTTGGGCGAGCGAAGACAAAGCACAACACGTTCTCTCCAACAAAGTGTAACGAGACTCGTATGAAGTAAACTTCTTGCTTATATAATAGATAGCCCTTTCCTTCTTTCCTGTCTCGTCGTGTTGACCAAGTACGCATCTGAATGCACTATCTGAGACAGACAAGTACAGCAACAAAGGACTCCCTTCTCCAAAAGGAACCAATACCGATGGATTGGACAAATAGTTCTTGATAGCATGAAAAGCAGTCTGACACTCTTCAGTCCACTTTGTTGGTGTGTCTTTCTTCAACAACTTGAAAATAGGTTCACACACCACTGTTGATTGAGCTATGAATCGACTGATGTAGTTTAACCTCCCTAAGAAACTCATCACCTCTTTTCTCATTTTTGGCAGAGGTAACTCTTGAATTGCTTTAATCTTAGAGGGGTCGAACTCAATACCCCCCTTCTGCTGACTATAAATCCCAAAAACTTCTCGGCTGGAACTCCAAAAGCACATTTGGAGGGATTTAACTTCAAGTTGTAACGACGCAAACGTTCAATGAATTTCCTTAGATGTGTCAAGTGGTCTGAACTTTGAAGAGATTTGAATATGACGTCATCCACATACACTTCAATCTCCTTATACATTATGTCGTGAAAAATGGTCGTCATAACTCTCATGTAGGTCGCACCAGCATTCTTGAGGCCGAACGACATCACCCTTTAGTGATATACACCCCAAGGTGTAATGAAAGTCGTCTTTTCTGCATTCTCCTCATCCATCAGAATCTAGTGATACCCTATGTAACAGTCTACAAATGATTTGCGCAGTTATCAATCAAAATATGAATATTCGGCAACGGAAAATTATCCTTTGGAATAGCTTTGTTGAGGTCTCTGTAGTCGACACAAATCCTGATTTTCCCGTCTTTCCTGGCGACCGGAACAACATTGGCCAGCCAAGTTTGAGATTGTATCACTTCCATGAATCGGGACTCTATTTGCTTGGTGATCTCTTTATTTATCTTCAAACTAAGTTCAGGCTTGAATTTCCGAGTTTTTGCTTTATCGGATCGAACCCCGGGTTAATCGGCATCTTATGAGATATGACATCGATACTCAACCCTTGTATGTCACCGACTTCCCAGACGAACACATCAGTATATTGAGTAAGCAAATGAATTAGGCCCTCTTTTTGAGCTTCATTTAGGTGGATGTTGATCTTAATTTCATTGGCACATTCTGGATCTCCCAAATTCACTATTTCTGTTTCCTTTAGATTTGGTTTATGCTGATTCTCGAACTGCCAAAATTCCTCGGTGACAAATATGGTTCCTCACTTTCTTCTTCATAATCGTTAACCCCATCGTCACTTGCCTCATTTTGTTCATTTAGCTCGTGAAATGACATAACATTGGCAGGTCTGTAACTTATGTTACTGAAATCATAAATAGAGAAAATTAGGAAAGTAGGGTATAACAAACAACTAAATAAATAAGATTAAAAACAAAGAGGCTTTCATTCAAAAAAATGCAAACTTTGGCCATGGCATGGGTCCATGTTGCCCTTTTTTGAACATCACAATGAAAATTCGAAAATTTGAATAGTTAAGAAAATGCAAAAATGGTGGGTCTCGGGCCTCTTCTAGACTACCACCGATTTTAATGTGCATGAAATGACGCCTTACTACCGAAGAGTTCGGGGTATCAGGATGCGTGGAGGTCCAGTTCCGAAGCACCTCATTTGACTCAACATCGCGGATACCATCTAGCTCAACCTCTTCCTTGACAACAGCATCGTTCTCCTCGATGAGTTCACAGTTTCCTTCCCTAAGGTCTCATGCTCGGCATACTCTCGGATTTGAAAGGATTGATACAGATGTGGGATTGGCCTAGTCAAGGTTTGATCATTTTTCTTTTTTATCTTCAGGTCATCATATGTGGGGATGTACCCCAAACCATATCTGGATCCCTTAACGAGGACTGGAACAGGCTCAATAATTCCTTGGGAATCTCTTCCCAATCCGAACCGTGGCTCAAAACCATTCTGCAGCATCACAATGCATATCATCTTGTACACAGCAGGCATTGGAGTTTGTGTGGCCAAGTCTTCACCTGTGGCATTCACCAGCTCCACTGTTTAAAAGTGTGTACCTCGTGATATCTCATCAATGATCGGCACCTGTCTGCCAAGGTGACTCCCCTTGCAATGAATAACGGCCTTCCTAGAAGAAGGTTGTAACTGGTACCGATATCCAATACCTAAAATTGCGTGCTGAATTCTACGGGGCCCATTTGAATGGTCAAATTCATTGCTCCCAACATGTCTCTTTGAATCCCATCAAAGGCTCTCACATTGACCTGGTTTTGCTCAAGTTTCCCAAGGTCAAACCTTAGCTTCCTCAATGTCGACAACGGGAAGATATTCAGACAAGATCTGTCATCTACTAAGATGTGGTTAACAACCTTTTCACGGCATATCAAAGTGATGTGCAGCGCCTTATTATGCGATCTCCCTTCAACATGCAGCTCATCGTCACAAAAGTTGATTCGGTGCCCTCGAATAACCAGATGAATCATGGCGGCCACGTTATCGCTGCTTGTGCCTGCGGGTACGTATGTATCATCAAGAGCTTTCAATAAGGCCTGCCTGTGGGATTGAGAGCTCATCAGCAGGGCCTATACCGATATCTGAGATGGAGTCTTCTCCAAATGCTTGACGATTGAATAATCCTTTGGTTGCATCCTTCTCCAAAATTCTTCCGCTTCTCCTTCGCTTATCGGCCTTTTGGCCTGATCCTTCTTCTGTCCTCCGAGAGCAAGCTCGCCAGGAGTGTAACACCTTCCAAACCTGTTCATTCCTTGAGCAGCGGCAGTTTTAATAACAAACTTAGGCTTGACGAGAGTTTCTGACGGCACCAAGGCAACAACCTTTGCAGGTGTCAAAATAACAAACTCTCTCTTTTCTTTTACGCTGAAAGAAGCGACAACTCCTTCCAATTCATCATGAACGATGGGATTAATCATCTTCGTTCCACATCAGTCTTCGTCTGTCTCAATCATATTGACACTGCCGCCCACATAATTTGACAATGGGTTTGTGTTGACATTTGGTGCCGCCAATTGGAGAGACACTACCTCCTGATCAATCAGATCCTGAATTTTGTGCTTAAGGTTGATACAATCTTTAGTATCATGTCCAACACTATTGGAATAGTAAGCACATCTCTGATCGGGTTTGTAGAACTTTGAATTTACATCCACGGGTTTGGGCCCCACAGGGTGGATGTATCCAGCCGCAGCCTGTCTCTCATACAGTTTGGTCTGACTTTCTGTGAGTGCAGTAAAGTTCCTTGAAGGACTCTTCTTAAATCTGGGTCGGAGAGGGTCATAACTGCCTTGTTGAGGAGGAGACACTTATTGATAACTTCTTCTAGTATTTGGACGGGGAGCTTGGCCTCTTGAATATGGATTTATTTGGTAGTTTGGTGATGGCGCTTGGTAATTCGGGGGGGGGGGATTTCGGTATAGTGGAGCTTGGACTTGATAAACAGGAAGGGGTGCTCGGTAGCTTGACTGTACGTTAGCGCAGTTAAGAGCAACACCCTGGTAGGGAGATGGAATTTGATAGGGTGAAGGATGATTTGGGTAAATAGGAGATGGACTTTGGTAATTGAGGGGTGGACATTGGTATGCGGGAGCTTGGACGTTTGGATAAATGGAGGTAGCATTCTGATTATTGGGATGACTAGATTGCGTGTACCAAGATTTGTAGGACTTTGGGGAAGGCCGGGAACGACCCTGTGAATATGATGAATTTCTGGGGAGTTTCCTTCCCCCATATGAAATAGCAGCAACTTCTTCTCTTTTCTTTCTCAACAAACCTGAAGACCCAGGTGATGCAGCTACACGGGCGGGCTATCTTTCCTGATTTTAATCCGTCTTCGATAGTCTCACCAATCTTGACTATCTCGACAAACTTTGCTCAAACGATCAACATGATTCTATCATAACATTTCGGCTCTTGTACACGCACAAACACTTCAACGATTTCTTTCTCAATCATGGGTGGCCTCACCCTTGCCGCTTCTTTTCTGCACCTATAGGCAAACTCCCTATAGCTTTCGGTTGCTTTTGGTTGATCTTTTCCAAAGAGTATCGATAGAGAACAATTTCTACGTTGTAAGCAAATCGATCGATGAAATCCTTGGCCAATGCATTTCAGTTGGGTCATTGTTTAGTTTCATGTGGGGTAAACCATTCGAGAGCTTCTCCACACAGGCTTCGGCTGAAAAGCCGCATCAACAAAGCTTCATCCCTTCCAACTCCCACGAGCTGGTCACAATAGGCTCTCAAATGATCCATAGGGTTTCCCACTCCTCCGGAGGTGTCAAACTTTGGAATCTTGAACCCTTCCGGAAGGTCCAAATTTGGGTGGATACACAAGTCCTCGTAACTATGTCCAGCGTTGTCGGGGATGCATTGTAGCTCCTTCATGGCCTTCTTTATTTCCTCTTTTATATCGACCCTTACATCTTAATTTTCCTTCCATTCTTTTCTTGTTCCTCGTAATGGTCCAACTCAGAACCGTGCACATCGTGCTCGGCAGGGATGGGAACTTGGAAAGTGGCTCTCATTGAAAGGGGTGGATCTATAGATGGACTTTGAGCATTTTGGGCGGTTTGGTAATTATGTGGGTAGGACTGAGGATTGGTGTTCTAATTTAAATGGTGATGAGGTGTTTGGGGATTGAAAGCATTTTGGTTCTGGTTTTG